TTTGCTGAAGCGAAATGTTTGGAAGTTGAAATCCTTAAAAGAGAACTGTCTAAAGCAAGAGAGAACCACGCGCACGTGGGGCAGAGCCCCATACCCATGGAATATGGTCAACCCCTTTTTCGTTTGGTTGTCATGTGACTGACCGACCGTACGCATGTACATATGTGCCTTCAGATTGCACGGGTAGGGTAGGGGAGACTATCAAAATGAAGGGAGGGGTGTCTCAGGTAAGTCTTGGCAAATGCACATCTTTTATGTTATCATTAATATTACGAACTAGGGAGCTCTGTTTTTAGGCTTGGCTAAATCTATATATTATCAATAACACAAGAAATTGTCATATTAAAGAACTAAGGCATATTCAGTTAAATGCTATGTGCAAAAACCAAATTGATTATTGGATAGTACATACTCAAGTAGTCAATAATATGATTGTAAACCAGTTTTTCTAAAATTTTAGAGAAAGAGGGTAGAAAAGAAATAGGTTTATAATTTGAAAATAATGACTTATAAATATCACCAAATTACTAAATTTTCTTCTATGGTTCAAAGAGTTTTGCAATTGCTTGATGCAAACAAATATACATGGAAATGTCTTTTTAACTGTGCCAGTGTTATTGACAAGCCTAGCTAGGGTGGCTGTAAAATGGAGAAAACCTTGATTTTGATATTGAAGGTGAATTGCAAACAAGGAGTGATGAAAGGCCCTTTCTTACTTTGTTTTTTTTCTTGTACTACCTTGTTTCATTCTAATTCAAGTGCTTGCCTGATAATGGTATCAGATATCATGAGTTTGGAAAGATTGATCTCTGTGGATCTGAATGTGAGACCTGTTGATTGTGTAGACCATCATGCTTAAACATTTAATTTCTCCACAATGCATGGGTCTTCTTCTGTAGCCAATAGGTTGTTAAATAGTTCCTCAACATTTTTCTTTGATTTAAGTTAAGATCAACAATCTAAGGGGAAATTTTGCACACCTATTCCCTCTTGACCATTTTGTGTACTTAAGGGAGGTCTGGTCATGAACAATTGAATTATCGAGCCACTTGGGATTTCTCTCACTCTGAGAACATATACTGCAGCTGATATATGCCTTACTTTGAGCTAAACTAACATTTCTTCTGTTAATCAAATTCCTCTCATGACTGTAGAGTGTGCACTTATAATCTGCAGCCAATTGTGTGTTAGAGAATATTTTATAAGTAACTTAGTAAAAGATGTACACAGACTTGAAGTTAATTTTATCAAAAATAATTTTTCATAAATACTTTATAAGGTAATGGAAATGTCATATTCTAATACCTTTAATGAGAATAAAAATCCTAAAGAATGCCATTAACCCCAAAAAATAACACTCTTGGGAGAGTGGCCATATCAGATCTTCTGCAAAAGTACTGACTTTCTCAATGGCACAGAGACAAAAGGTTACATATAGGAGAATGGAAAGAGTATCTTTTCTCCAACAACATAAAAATGACAACTTTTAGCCTCAGTTTTTTTTTGTCTCTCTTATCATTATAACTGTTACAACTAAAACAAAACAAAAAAAAACCAGGTTGCATTTTTAACAAATGCATTTTACAACTACAAAGATCTGACAGAAACTTACCCAACACTTTTGAATTTTAAGTTTAAAACAGACTGTAAACACAGGTGTATCATCTGCACTAGTAGATGAGCCAAAACTCGAGTTTTGCAAATCAAATTTTGAAATAAGTTTTTGATCTAAAGAAATCACTTGAATGTGGAGTTTTGGGGTCTTTTATTTTGGTCATGTCATTGAATATACATGCCAAATGGACATCATAATTATCTTCTGGCTTAGACTTATGTTTGATCTTACTTTGGTAATCTTCAAGAATGAAGATTTTGTTCATACCTGTCAAATTTTCAATTGAGTTTTTTCATAAATCAGTAGGATATCTCAAGTTTGTTCATTAAGTTGTTTGTAGCTGTAGTAGCCAGATGTTTGAGGAGGAGAAGGGGTACTAGGCACAAGTTACTCTATCCTTTCATTGCAAATTTCTTGAGAGTGTGGCATGTTCTCTCTTGTGGTGGACTGCCATTAATATGAGCAGCTTTTGTAAACTTTGCCCCATTTACTAGGGATAGAATGCGAATGAACTAGACTCAATGAAACTATCTAATTTTACCCTCTTATTTGCTTATTTACAACAGGTGTATAAAAAGCTACTCTGCAAAATTTGTTAGAAATCACTCTCTGATATGATATTCTCTACATTGTGATTGGTTGTTGCTAAGTACTGATTTAAAAGGTCATTCAAGGTTGCGTTGATCATGTAAACTCATCAACGTCCTAAAATTTCTACAGGCGGTGTTTCTAGATGTTGACATAATGTTCACATTCTTCGTCTGACGTGCGTCGTGCATGGATGACAAAGTCTCCGACATAGCCATGGGCAACACTGTAAACAGTTTTGCTGTGGAATACACCCATTCAGGAAAAAATCGGAAGTTGCATGGAAGTGAGGCCTAAGGGCCCTTGACGGCTTTTCGCAGTAAAAACGAATGTGTTTCCGAAAAATTTTTTGGGTTCTCATTCGATCTGATAATCAAAATGATGACATTACAGCAAGATAATTGCAAGCAAAATAAAACGAAAACTAGTCATAAGACATGTACTGCAGCAGCAGAAGATGGGAAACGCTCATGCGAAGACGAGATCAGAATTTTAAAAGCGTTGAGAACAAGTATAGTTGTTCCGAACATTTCCTACCAAATGATTACAGAATAAGTCTCACCGGACATAGAAAGGATTTAAAAACAGGAGCCATCCCCTCTGTTTTTCCTTGGTCTTCAGACAAATCACATGTTAAAGAAGAGCGTCTAAGGTTGTGGACACAAGCGAAAATATTGCATAAGGAAATGAAAAAGGCAGTGGAATCGTCATTGAGCGATGAAGTGCAAGATTCTGTTAATTTTATAGGTCCTCCAACGATAGAACAATTTTGCTGAAGCGAAATGTTTGGAAGTTGAAATCCTTAAAAGAGAACT